ATAAATCACAAAACAGGTCTCATTATCTTTGTAATTTGCGCTGACGCAAAAGAGAACCAAATTACCAGGTGTGTGAGGCAATTTGTGCAGTAAAAATGGGCGTGCGAGGCCCTTCTGAATTTTAAAATCACCTGGATTCAGACTAGCTGCTTCTAGTTTCAATAGAACCTCATCTTTCTTGAGGGTAGGGATTGGAATCTCAACATGCTTCAACGAAAATAATTAAAGAGACACAACACAGATGGCCTAAAGGAACCACCTGCAAAACATATGTTTGATGCACTCTTAACCGAAAAATCCTCTTGGTATATTTGCCTATGCTAGAAACATAAATGCGAAACTGAGGCGAAATCTAAATAGGTTATATCAGGGTAAAAATTATAAAAAAAAAATAAAAAAAAAATCGAGGAAAAAAGAAAGTTCCAAGAATTCTACAAAGAAAAGTATGATAGAAAACATAAAGAAAAGGAGCAGATAACAAAGAACCTTCAAGCCAGAAGGTCCTCCACCAAAGCTTTTGTACTGAACCGCATGCATAAGCTTCGCTGCCATGGCTGCCAAACTCTGAGATTGAGATGGTGAGACTCTGAGGAAAGAAATTTTTGTATGCTTCATCAAGTGAACCCCATATTATATAGACCAATGCATCATCATGTGAACTGCATATATATATATATACTGTGACGTACTCGGTTTATAAATTGTTCGAAAATTTTCTGTGCGTTCAAAGTCAACCCCTGATAATTGTTGTATTGGAACATTTTTTTTTATTAATGATGATCTCATTTGACAAAATTGAACATGATTTATCTTTTCATTATTCTATGAAAATTGTCTTCGAATCACATAAATTAAGAAAATTGTATTCTGAACTTGTCCTGCATATATCTATAACTCTGTCTTGGTCATCAAGCAAAATCTAACCAGACTATATATTGTTGAATAACTGTATTGTTTTCTTAATTACTGATTCATTATTCCTAAACGTTTCGAGTAATCTAAGACACATTAAAATGAACATTAAGCCGAAAGTTAGTACTTAAAATTTAGAAATCCAAAGATAATTTCTCTGATTAAGGTTCCACAATGATCTTTCCAGTAGCATGCCCATCTGTACTCTTAGCCCAAGCATCTTCAGCCTTGCTTAGAGCATACTTCGAGTCAATCACAGTCTTGAGCTTTCCTTCCTTCACCCACTTAACAAGATACTCCAGGTTCTCAGCCTCAGCATTCATGAGCAGCCGGCACCAGCTGCTTCTTCGAGAAGGTGATTGTGTTTAGTACCAAAGTAAGCAAGGCGCTAGGAGTGACGCTAATGTCTATAACCTTCCCTTCTGCACTCAAATTAGGCTCAAATGTTGACCAAGGAATGCCTATTTCCTACCAGCTGTGCTCTTGAGAGATGCCCCATCAGGGGTCTTGTTCTGCCCCCAAGCTCTTGACCAATTCAACGTTACGTGCTCCACAGGTGTCTGTGACATGAGTGTTTCCGAGCTTTGCTAGCTGAACTGCATAGTGGCCTACACCGCCAGAGGCAGCAGTGATCAGTATGTTCTTCTGCTGGCCCGATCCATCAAGCTTGATGCTTGCAGCTTGGGTGAGAGCCTGAAGAGCTGTTAGACCGGCAATAGGTAAGCCAGCGCTTTCTGCTGCTGAAACTTCTGGGGGCCTAGCAACTGTCAGTCTCTCACTGGCTACCGAAAACTCGGCCAGTCCACCTCCATTCTTTTTCAATATTTAATATAACAGCAGAGATGATATCAATAACAAACATATTAAAATTCATGTGAAACTTATACCTAAGATAAAATGAGACTTACAAAAAGATTGAGCAACGCCACAACTTTGTCGATGGCTTTGAATTTTTTGAAGCCTTGTCCGACCTCTATGATCTCTCCGGCCACATCATTAACTGTTCTAGATAATCTCATCAGCCAAACATAACAAAGCAACCTACCAGCTTACGATTCAAAACCGGATTATGGGTAAAAAGGTGTAACGAAATTACCAGGTATGTGAGGGAGTTTTCCTGGAAAAAAAGGCCATTGAATTCCTTTCTGAACTTTCCAATCAGATGGATTCAGACTAGCCGCTTCCAGTTTCAGACACACCTCGTCTCTTTTCGGAGCGGGAATTGGAATGTTAACATGCAGCAACAAACATAAATCAACTTTAAGATTCTGGTACTTGAGATTGTGAAATGATTTCTTCTCAAAACTACAATTTAGCAGATTAGAGAATGTCCACAAGCAAAAATCAAAACAGGAAGAAAAAAAAAAAGGCAGACAAATTAAAGAAGCAGAAAAGTTAAGAAACCTTCAAACCAGAAGCCCCTCCACCATAACAGTTGTACTGAACTGCATGCATAAGTTTGGGTGCTGCCGGCACAGCTGCCATAACTAGAAACAGAGAGAATGAGGGTGGGGAGACAGAAATTTTTGCAGCCCCATCAAATGATTTTATCAATTGTTGGACAACTTTGGCTGGTCGGGGAAGTCAACGATGAGGTCTGAGCATTTTGTTTTGATTCAAGGGTAATTTCACATTAGTATATATTGAATAAAGAGGAATAAAGCAAGCAATTGAATATCCTAAGTTTGTAATTTTGTCTGACATAAATCCTCACACATCAAGTTGTGAAGGTTGGGGATAACATAAGTGCTACGAAAACTGCTCTCGGGTTACTAATTTCTAGATGTTAGAATCCCTTTAGGCGGCCCTATTTTGTAACTCACATGCATCTATGGTTAGAAATCACTTGAGTGCACGAGCGACTAGCTGCAGTACTCCTTAGTGCAACACGGCCAAGTCAAAATCTTCCAGCATATTTCTACGTGCTTGAGTCTTGCAGTAGTGTCCATGAAAAGAGGAAGAAATAGGAAATATACTAACATTTTCTTCTTTTCTATCTCAAAATCGATACAAATTTCGTTCTTATGCTTTAGGATGCACAAATATTACAATAAATTGAAGATGTCTTTACAAACAATCAAGCATTCTCTGTTACATATTCAAACGCATCCTTAAAATCATTCCACGTATTATTCACAATACGATAAACCATCTCAGAAAACCCCTTCGAAACCTCTGGATAATCAGTGAGCAACCCATCGACCGATTCAAGAGAAGTCTTTGTTTTCTCCACGAGACCTACAATCGCAGAAGTGGTAATGCCAGCAAATCCTGTGACACTTCCTTTCAGAAAATCAAAGAAAGTAGAGATTGTAGCACTTATTGCTTCCATTACAAGTCCCGCAAAGTACTCAGAACATGACTTGATAACCTCGGTGACTAGTTGCAATGTGCCATGGATGGCTTGGCCTGGTGTTCTGAATCCCTGGATCAATAACACGAGAATATGAGCCGTCGCAGAGAAGATCAAGCGCGTAACCAAGTTCGATACGAAGCTCAATGCGAAGAAGATGAGTTTGAGAAGGAACACAACCATCTTTGCTGATTGTTTCGAGTCTTCGGGGTAGCTTTTAGTGTAGGAAGCAACTTGGTTTATTATATACGTGTGATCAGAGTTGAGGTCACAAGGCTACGCTGGCCTATACGCAATGCTAGTCGTTTACCATTGGAGTGGAAAACCCTTAATTTTAATTTGTTGGCTGTAATTTTTTAAGGAGCAGTTGTTGAATCGTTATCTTCCGGGAAATTGCGAAGTCACTAAGAAATATAAATGGAGCTTTCCTATGACCGATTCTAACTAAATCTAATAGTAATTAACTGAATCAAATGGTTTCGATTTGATGTAATTGCTTACTCAAAACATAATCAAATCAAGTCGGGGTTATCAAATAATTAAATGAGTTGAAGTCTCACATACAACATGAACAATGAAGTTTCCTTCGGATACATTAAACGCATTAGTACTAATCTGCGGATTATGATCCAAAATCCAACTCAAGCATGAGAACTTTACTATCACACATATTACTAGTACATTATACCAAAGGCACGCATAGATAACCAAAAACAGAATTCAGAACTGGGAACCGAGAACATAGAATTCAGTTCAAGTAAAATTACCCATGTCACAATACCGGTACTTTCCGTCATCTAGGTCTAGTCTAAAGGTCGTACCCAGTGCACAAGGCTCCCGCTTTACGCAGGGTCTGGGAGAGGTGAATGTCGGCTAGCCTTACCCCAATTTTATAGAGAGGCTGCTTCCAAGTCTCGAACCCGAGACCTACCGCTCATGGACGAAGGCACTTGCCATCACACCAAGTGCGACCTCTCATCTAGGTCTAGTCTGTGATGGAAAAAGAGAGTGATTTCCCAAACACTTGAAAAGTGATTAAACCGAGCACTCCATGCAATTTATCAGGATACAGAATCTTTTGAAAAAAAACCTCACTACACAGATCAAAAGATAGGACGAATGACCGATTTTCAGAACTCCGCTTTGCAATCCAATATACAACTCCACTCAAGAATGCACCCCTGTTTTGCAACAAACTGACCTCTTGTGAAACATTAGGAGCTGCAGTAATTTTTCTCCAAGAGTTCAATTAGGCTGTAAACCTCAACGCCAAGTTTCTTGCCCAACCTCCTGAATGCTCACCACCGTGAAACCCAAACCAGAGAGCAACCAAACTGCTTTTGGGCTGAATGAGGCCCTCGGTAAGTCTCTTGAGTTTTCTAATCGATGGATTCCAAAGGTATACAGAGCAGAGGAGCCTTCTCGCTTTTAGGTTTTGTAACACCAGAGATACAAAGTAATTCATTGCAAGAACCATGAATGCTAAAATCAGGCTTGTCCTTACGAGGCTCTAAATCCAAACACTTGGCAAATGTTTCAGCATCAAAGAGTGACAAGCAATTTAGCTCAGCATTGCGGATAAGCAGATAATCACAAGAACTTTTCGCAGCATTCCTTTCGAGATGGAAGTTTATGAAACTATAGCTGCTGACTAAATTGTTCTAAGATTGGCATACACACATACACCGTAAAAGAGATTTCGAAGGTAATCAAACACTACTTCTTGCATGGATTTCTGGTTAAATTTGTGAGAATTGCAAAAGATAGGCTAAAAATCATTTCGTGGTACAACGATAAGAACTTACAAAAATCTGGCTAGTTATCAAAATTTCCCGAACGATCTTTCCATTAAATCTCCATAATGATTTTGTGTCAAAAAAAAAAAAATTACCCACGCATACATAAATCACCAAACATTATTCTGTTGCACATGAATTTTATAAAATCCCAAGATATTTTGTGTGATTAAATCTCCACAATGATCTTCCCATTAGCATAGCCATCAGTTCTCCTAGCCCAAGCATATTCAGCCTTGCTCAGATGATGCTTAGAGTCGATCACCGTCTTGAGCTTTCCTTCCTTCATCAACTCAACAAGATACTCCAGGTTCTCACGTTTCAGATTTATGATCATCGGCACCAGCTGCTTCTTCGAAAAGGTGGGTCTTTGTAGAGCACAAGTAAGGTCTATAACCTTCCCATTCGCACTCAAATTCGGCTCAAAAGTTGACCATGGAATGCCTGCTGATGCACAGTGAATCACAAAATCATATTTCCAATCAGATGAGCTCTTGAGAGCCGTCCCATCTGGGGTCTTGTAGTCAAGAACCTCATCTGCTCCTAAGCTCCTGACAATGTCAATGTTACAAGCTCCACAAGTGGCGGTAACATGAGTGTTTCCAAGCTTGGCTAGTTGGACTACATAGTGACCGACGCCACCAGAGGCACCAGTGATCAGTATGTTCTTGAGCTGGCCAGTTCCGTCAAGCTTGATCCCGGCTGCTTGGGTGAGAGCTTGGTGAGCTGAGAGGCCGGAACTAGGTAAGCCTGCACCTTCAGCTGCTGAAACTTCTTGGGGCCTAGCGGCCGTCGAGAATCCTTAATTGAGTGTCAAAACTGATCATTTTATTGATATAATATTAGTTGAACAGAGTTTACTCGTGTACACATCAAATCCTATGATCAATCCTATGATCATGTGCGTTCGAGTTGTGTAACATGTGTCCGAAATTGTCACCCGTAGCGAATCCCTATCAAATTCATTGCCTTGGGTCCTAAGTTAACCACTCCACCAAGTAATCTCATACATAAATTCGCAAACCACCATCCCACAGAAAGGGTGAAAATTGACTGGGAATCAAAAATATGTTTTATTTATAACCATGATATACACTATACAATAGAAAGTCACCGGGTGCTTCCATGGCAGAGCCAAAAAGCGGAGTACGAAATCCTTGCTATTTACGAAGATAATTAACCCAAACCATATTCGGGAAAAAAAAACAACTAACCATATCTACTAATCAGTTCTCCTTAAGCTTATATACTGTCCCAATGCATTCTTCGGTGTCCCAGAGGAATGAACCAAAGGCGACAGCCTCTAGAACCAGCCTCTTCAGGCTTGAATAAGAAGTTAAGATAACTTCATCGGTCTCAGGCGAACCCATGCTCTCATCATCGCCAAAGAGTGCACAACAGTGATTCTTAATTAAATTCACAGCGACCTCGGATCTCAGTTTTGCGCATCTCTGAAGTGTATCAGGATCAAACCCCATCACGTAACACCTCAACTTTCCATGAGTCTTCTCCTGCCTACTTGACCCTTGAAACTTCGCTTGAATGTTGCCAATGCGGCCAAAGAGAAGATTTTTGTTTCCATTAGGGCACATTTCCAGAAATTGAAGAGAGGTTCTGTGATTCAGAGGAAGGTCTTGGCTCTCCAGAGTTAGAATGCAATCCAGGCTGTGTCTCAATGAGGCAGATTTCAGAAAGTAACCATATAAGATGGAAGCCACATATGCTTGACCAAGTGTTTGACGCGTGATCTTTGTCATTGCCCAATTGTCTGTGACGCTAGACTTTGCTCTCAAGCCAATGACTGTGCTTACATGTTCCCTTATCATCTCCAAAACGTCCATGCTGTAAAGGGACTCTAGCTCCCAATCCTTTGAAGGCCATATCTCCAGTCTCCCATTGTAAATGCATCTAGAGAGCTTAGGAACCAAATGAACTTTGATCTCGGAAAACTTGTAAAAGACTAAGAGGTACATGAAATCTTCCACAACAGTCTCGCACTCCTGCTCCTTCAGTTGTGCAATCCTCCTGGCATTTCAGTAATATATTAGGTCAAAGAAATAGATATGATTCTAAGGAAATCTAATTGGAAATTCCACATACGAGAGCTTCAACCCACCAAGAACTTACAAGGATTCGTTCACCAATTTACTTACGCTAATAGGGTAAGGGTCGCTAGGCAAGAACACCCAGCAACATTACTGCAGTCACCGCCTGCCTATGTGCACAGGTAAAAAGTGCATGTTAGGCATAGCAAGTGCATTCACGAATGCCCTACCCAAAGATCATCATTGTCGTTCCTACACCGACAAATTTAAAAGGTAACAACATAGAAAGCAACAATTTCCTTATTGATGAACTAGCTTTCACATATCATTATAAACCACAGGGCAATCGAGCCCTTCATATGAACATAGTGATTTCCTAACTAAGATACAACAAAGGAACCTCTCCATCCTCCAACACTGTATGTCATAGTCAATTATGAGTCTATCCATCTTCCAAGCAGAATTTTGAACAGAGCAAAAAGAAAAGGAAGAAGCAAAAAACAAAACTTAGTAGAATAGCTTTTAGGGTAGTGACTTTCATACTCCGGTTTTATCCTTCTGCACTCCTCCTGTCTTTCTTTCCGTGCCTAATTCACCCTTTGAATTATTCAATCCAAAGGCTAGACAAACAGGGAGGAGTGCATGGGGAGAAACGGGGATTGCAAAAAACACTACCGCAGCTCATATCACACACACAGCATACTAAAGAGCAGCACTTGATCATCTTGGTAGAGCATTAAATTACAGTACGCCGAAAACCCATCATGTTCATTACAAATGCTTACGAAATAATGAAAAAGAACAAGTTCTAATACCATGGTAACAACTATAAAGTTGCCACTTTTTACTCATTAGGAGATGAACAGTTAGAGGGATTAGAATTTAGATTCTAGTAATTTTTTCAGTTAAATTTCTTAAACATCAAATCAACAAGTATCAACTTAAAAGTTTCAATCTGTACGAGAAAAATCAGAAGGAAAAAAACACATTAATCAGGAAAAATAACTGTAAAAATAGCACATTAACATGTTCCTATGAAAACAGAGAAGTGATATTTCAATATCTACCCAGAAAAAATTAATGAATAAATAAATAAAGCGATGAGATTTTGGCAAATACCTATGAAGGCAGGCTTCATGAGAGGCGGCGCTGAGAGACGCACGAGAGAGAGCGAGTTCCCGATCATCGGCCAACTTCTTCAGCTCCTGAGCCACGGAAAGGTGGAACAGCCGCGGATGGTTCTGCAAGACGGTGCAGAGGTCCTTTCCGGGTCGGGTCCGCGGGTCGAGCGGCGAGTTGAGGCTGCTGAACTCGCAGTGGCTCGCCCCGGCTCCGGCGACGACGGTCAACGGCCTGAAGAACCGATTTGCGGTCAGCGATTGGACGGCGGAGCGGGGCGGGGCGAAGGCGGGGGTTATGCAGAGCTTGAGGGTTGAGAGCGGGGAGAGACTATGGTCCATCAACGATGGCTGGAATTTGGATTTTGAGAGTGGGAGTGAAAGTTGAGAGCTGTATTTTTTTTAAGGGGGAGAGGAATATATGGGAAAACTTTGGATAGGGTTGTCCGAGTGGTTGAGTCAGAGAGGGAGAGGGATTGGGCGGCTGCGATTGGCAGTAGTGTTGCGTTGGGACACGTGGCGCGATCCTAACCGTCTGTGTGTTATACTGACGTAAGAAAAGATTGAAGGTTTAAGTTGTTAATTTTTCATACTTTTTCGTTTCATAGTGTTATTTGAACTCAGAATAAATTTTTGTAGAGGAAGGATAAGCGCGTTTGTAAGACTTTTATGCGGTTTAAGTGTAAGTAGAGAAATTATTGTGCGCGTCAATCATGGCAAGTAATCTGTATTACTCATTATTTTATTCCTACAAACCTCGATTCAAATGTGTCGTTCATATGAGTCAATTAAATAAACTAAATGGTTCAACCATCAAACATAAAAATTTATACAAAACTAAGTATCAATTTATTAACGAGTATATATTAATATTATCCTCACTATATGTTAGCCGAACTTGATAGGTACTACTCTAAACTGTACAAAACACTATAATTTGGTATCAAATTTATCATTCATGCTATAATAACACCGCATGACAATATTAGAGCTAACGCAAAGACTTTCCGAATTTGAGATATTCCCTAGTACCTCCACTGGTCAATGGAACAAATATCTCCAGATGGTTGGTATTCATTGATGTTTAAGGAATAAACAAATCTAGGGTAATGTATGGCCCACAAGCACATTGGTTTGCTGTGGACCCTATGTGTTTGTATATTTCGATTGCACCACGTTGACCAATGACCGCTCATTTAACCTCAATTATTAATTTTTGATAACGATTAGGATAAGTCGCTTTATTAAGTAGTAAAGTTGTAGTGAGATGGGAAGTAATAGTATAATAATCGATGGATGATAAATCGTTAGACCTAACCCAATTCTTTATCATTTTTGTATTTTTGGAGTTGTACTCAACTACCCGCAATGCTTTTTTTTTTTTCTTTTTTTTTTTTCTAAGAAGAATCGGTAGTTTTAATTGAAAGAAAACTAACAAAACAACTTAAAAATTTTAGTTTTTAATCAAAAGTACTAAATAAAGATGTAAATAAATAATATCATGAGTGACTTTTTAGGCTAAAAATGTCATTAACGTTAAAAGTAAACAGTATCAGAAGTGTTTCATTAAAACTCTCTTTATTGAAAGATCAAAGAGAACATAAGTCTTGGTTGAAGCACATCCCAAATAGAATCTCGGGGTTTCTCAAACTAAATAATTGAGCTACTACGAGATAAACTGTCACGCCCCGATCCTGACATACGTCTAGAATCGACATGTGACGTCATCAAATAACCATATATCTAACATACCCGCCTCCGGGATATGTACCAAGTACATCTCATGCCTCGAATTGCGTAGTACAAAAAATTACTACGCAATTTTTTTGTATGCTTTATGGCTGCATCTAACCTCCTGTTAGACTGCCTACGTACCCTCAATAAAGATCAAGTCATTTGTAGTTCGTCATTTTACTACACTCAAACATCCATCACATAAATCGCTATGTCTTAACAATATGTCACAATGCATACCATGCGATATGTCAAAGAACCAATGACGAAGCACAATATTCTTCTCAAGCCACATTGATCAACTAAAATAATCATAATAATAACATCCATATTGTGAAATCTCGTTCCCGAAATTTCAATATTCTTTATGTATCTCGTAGTTTAAATTTGTATTTCGCGATTACGTTATCTTTAATAGCTAATTTTAATTCCGTTTATTTTAGGAATATTAATTGATTGGCTATCGAGTTTGAAGTTTCATAATCAATCTTTAGCAATCGTCGACCTTTTGAAGTTACAACTAGTGTTTTCAAATAAATTTCGAAACCATGAACGCATAGGCGAAAACCGTTTGCGAGTCCGAACTATAACGATATGGTTGCGGATGTTTGAAGTTGTGATACTATAGATTTTAGGAATTATTTATCTCCCAATTTGTGGGTAAGAGGCCCAGACCGATATTTGGATTAAGGGACCAATAAGTTAGAAGAGGGAAGGGACCAATCAGATTTTAAAAGAAAGGTTAGGCAGCAGCCAATCAAAAAAGGGAAGAAAAGAAAAGAGGGATTTTTCCACTTCCATTTCTGTTGACCATACACCCACGACACCACCTTTGAGCCGGTTCTAATTCCGGCCATTTCCACCATATTTTCAGGTGATCTTCAACCATCCCACATCTGCCACCTCTTCCATTACTTCTCATCTACCATCTCCACCCAATTTCGAAGGAATTTTAAGCCCAAAAACCGTATAAACTGTGCGGGTGCCCGAAGGTTTTTCACGGTGATTCCGCCGTTCCAGCGAGTTTCACCACTCACCACCACCCTTAATCAACTTCCCTTTGACCCAGGAACAAGACCCAATCAATTGTAGGGGCGTTGGAACACTGAGGAATTCGAATCAAGGAACACCCATTTCTAGGGTTTCCGAAGGGTTTGGATGAAATTGGGACACTTCCTGGTTGAATTGGACTTGACCACAAGTATGAAAATTTCTCCCCTCATTAAGATA